AAAAAAAAAAAAAAAGAAAAAAGAAAAAGAAGCCTCGTTGAGTTTAAGTTTTTTCACAAAATTTTGAATGTGGGGCTCAAAACTGAGGGAGTCATCAATCAAGAACCCAAGATATTTGTATGTGTGAACCCTCTCTATAATATTTCCTTCCAGAGTGGACACAGTGGGGATCATATGAGGCAGCAGTTTGGTGTTTGCAAATAGCATTAGTGTTATCAGCAATGAGTACCAACTTTAGCTGCAGGAATGTGTGCTGGACAACATCAAAAGCTCTCTGCAGAGAGTCTACAGCTTTAGYARCAGTCGATCCAAARCAGTAAATAATTRTGTCATCGGCATAAAAAAGCATATTAGCATCTGAAACATTGTGTTCTAATTCTTTAATGTACATAAAGAACAGAAGGGGACCAAAGATTGAACCCTGTGGCACTCCCTTGTGTACACTCATAAAATCAGAGCACAAACCATCATATTTAATACTCTAAAGCAGAGGGGCCCAAAGTGGGGCCCGCGGGCCAAATTTGGCCCACCAAGCCATTTGATTTGGCCCACCAGCAGTTGCCAAAGTTACAAGGTTGTAACCTGTAGTCCTATTAAGAAACAGTATTTCCAGTGGTCAAACAACTATATTAAGGGCAGTAGTGCAGGTTTTCATTCATGGTGCTTTATCTTTGATATATTAGGATTAAACATGAAGTAACAACAAGATATTTTTAACTTAGATTTAAAAACACATGTAGATTTGCACACTTTATAAGGCCACAAAAACTCATATTTTATCAATTTATGAAATATCCCATGAGCCTTTGAGCGTACGGCAGACTTTTTCCAAGTGCACAAACTAAAACAAAAGAGGGTCACCGCACTGGCTGCTAGCTTAATCGTTAAACATAAAGGACTTTACTTAAAAAGTATATGTATTTCATGTATTATATTACTGCATTTGGCCCCACAGCCCTGGATAGAGTTTCATTTTGGTCCTCTCTGGGAAAATGTTTGGGCAGTCCTGCTCTAAAGCCTGGAAACTGATGCGAAAGATGTGAGGCAGCGGGTTGATGGTTGCGCAATTTCAGCGCGTCTTTTCCTGACCGAGTATAAACGGGTTGGAGATATGTTGGGCCATAAATGACCATAAATCCTCACTCTGCCCTCCCAGCAGCTCATATAAAGTATATACTGTAAACTACAATAACGATGGCTGGATAGTGTTTTTTTCCTCTCAACATCAGTGTTAGGTTGAGTGAGGTAGAGCCGTTTTTATTTATTTATTTATTTATTTTTTACGGTGGACGGAAAAAAAAGACGCGACCAGCTGTGTGCTCACGTTCATCCTTGGGACCTGGATCAAACCAGCTGCTCTTTGAGCTCTTTTTAAAACTGGCTTCTGACAAAAAATATNCTTTTCCTGACCGAGTATAAACGGGTTGGAGATATGTTGGGCCATAAATGACCATAAATCCTCACTCTGCCCTCCCAGCAGCTCATATAAAGTATATACTGTAAACTACAATAACGATGGCTGGATAGTGTTTTTTTCCTCTCAACATCAGTGTTAGGTTGAGTGAGGTAGAGCCGTTTTTATTTATTTATTTATTTATTTTTTACGGTGGACGGAAAAAAAAGACGCGACCAGCTGTGTGCTCACGTTCATCCTTGGGACCTGGATCAAACCAGCTGCTCTTTGAGCTCTTTTTAAAACTGGCTTCTGACAAAAAATATMATTTTAAACAAAATAACACGCTGAAGGAATTGAGCTGCAGTGCTGAGGGTCCTGTTCTGGTCCAGCTCCAACTCCTCGGTGCTGCCTCAGCTGAGGACCACTGGCCCACTGTGGTGCTCTTGATGAACAAACACACCCACAAACTCTGGACCTATCACACTGAGCTGCAACGTCCCGTCAGCACAGTTCTGACTGGAGGCCATGCACAAGACGGCTGTCACTGGGGGATAGCAGCGGAACAGCAGATGGAAGTTGTGCAATTTTTTGTCACTCAGCAGGGGGTAAAAGACGTGCAACTCGAAGTATAAACCAGGCTTTAGTCCTGTTACTTAATTTTAAAACGAGGAAACCACATGATCTGACATTCCCAAACAAAAAGCTTGTACTTTAAGAYAGCATGGTCCACAGTGTCAAAAGCTTTTGACAGATCAATAAAAAGAGATGCACAGTATTGCTATTGATCAAGAGCMACAATTATATCATTTATCACTTTAGTGGCTGCAGTGATGGTGCTGTGCTTTTTTCCTGAAGCCTGACTGTAGTTTTCAGAGAAATTCATTAGAATATAAAAACAGTTGATCACAAACAAGAGATTCAAGAATCTTTGACAAAACACAAACTTGGTATTGGTCTGTAGTTAGTTAAAACAGCTGGGTCACCTCCTTTCAATAAGGGAGCAACAAAAGCTGACTTACAGACTAAAGGAACTACCTTATTTTGGATTGAAAGATTAGAAATCAAGCTTACAAATCACCTTTCAGTAACGGTTGTTGTTACATATAAA